GTAATGCACCCGTCATGGCCATGATGACGTAATGCACCCGTCATGGCCATGATGACGTAATGCACCCGTCATGGCCATGATGACGTGCTTTGCACTTTTCTACGCGCTCTCTCACTAGCTACGACACTAGCCTAGGTACCGCGCTTTGCTTCCTTGTGTTTTTTAACTTTTTTTCCATGTCCACTTCATTCCTGATGATGGTCATGAAGACCGAAACGTTGAAACGATACTTCTAATGGATTTGTGTGCAACGCAGTGCTCTCTTGAGTGTAGGCAGGTTGCCTGCAAACTATTCAAGTGCAATGAAGCAGCTGCGTGAAGCGTCCTTCAAGATTTTGAAACAGCCGGAAAGGAGATAAAAGAAATGGCTGTGAATACAGTCTAATGTCGAGCCAGACGCGCCTCAGCCTAGACGAGGTCGACAGTCGAGGGGTCGAAGTGACGACGGCGAACACAGCGTGATCCGCGGACGCAACGGATGGCAAACCTGGCAAGAGAAAATGCCAAGCAGGACCGCAGCCAAGCTTCGACCCGGATAGGCAGCGTTGCTTTTGGTGGCCAAGGCATGCGCCAGCCTCTTGATTACCACGGCCGCTTCTGAGCCCATGCCACCACAGGAGGAGAACACTAACGGTGTGAAGGAGCCATGCTCGACGTCATTGACACGTTCACCGTAAGCACGCTTCTTCTCGCCGTCAAACCTTCGGTAGAGTGAGGGGAGGGACTTGGCACGATAGCTTGACGCGTGGGGATAAAACACCCTTGTATCGAAGAATGCGTGGCGGCTATCGGTCCAGAATCCCTTCACGCGCAGGTCGGCACGGGCATCAGGATCAGTGTCGGCTGACCGATGGTGAAAGGGGGAGCTAACTCGACCAATCTGGATTCCAATTCCAAAAAGAGCCTCGGAATTATTAAATTTTGTCATTTGTGAAGAAATGTTACTCGTTAAAAGTTAAAACCTTACATTTACTTCCTCAACAATCGTTCTCTAAGATTAGAAATTTAGAATACCTGAGTTCATGTGAGCAGGCGGGTAGGGGTTGAGTCTAATCTCGTGTGGCAAGTTGAAAGTCTTCACTGATGAGCTATGTATTAGCGAAACAGCCGTCTGAAGGAGTTATCAATATCGTTTACAGAAGTGTCCTCGCAGTGGGGATGGTTGTCTGCAGAAGGGCCTAGTCGGCTAAAGAGCGCAGTGTAATCAGGTAATGGTGGAGGTGACTCAACAATTTGGGAAACGATGTGAAAAAATTCACTATCCTTCGCAATGTAGCAATTTTTCTTCTTGCAAAAGCCCCTCAGATTCCGTGGGCAAAGGTTCGAATTCAATGATTTCTGCAAACTTTGACAGCGATTTATGCAGCAATTGCCGCGGACATGGAATCGCGTTTTCACAAGGGGATAAGAGCACTCAATCTGCGCACAGAACTGTTTCGTGCTTTGTGGCCTCACCAGCGCAGCACAGAGAAAATGAGGCCGAACCTTTGCAGTTTGGCAATGAAAAATAATTTTTCCAAAGCCAGATTTAAAGGGGAAGTTAAGGCAAAAATTTAAATTTCACCAGTTGTAGTCTTCGGGGTGCTGAGTCGAATGGTCGTGGTCCGAGGAAGCTGAGACGCTCCCTTCCTACTTGAATCCCAATCGAACTCGCGCACTTCCACCGAAACTGGGTGACTGCGCCCTACTAGATGGGGATTTGTATGCAAAATGTCACTAAAAGCGCCATTTCGTTCTTATAAAAGCATGGATGACCGCGATTGGCCCATATGTTGTAGTCTTTTGGACGCTGAGTCGATTGGTTTTGGTCCGAAAAGGCTGCGATGCAGCGTTCCTCCTTTATTCCCAATCGAACATGGTTGAACAAGCGGTCACGTGCTCCTGCGTACACCAGTCACCTGGTCACCGTGCCTGCAGGGTACAACTTACTAGCCTGTTTGACCTTTTTTGGGTGCAGTCCTGTCACTCGAGTTGAACTCGAGTTGAACTTTGGTGTGAAAGTTCTCGCCTGCTGGGCCAGTGCTGGCGTGGTTACCAGGTGATTTTGGCACCCAGGAGCACGTGACCGCTTGTTCAACCATGTTCGATTGGGAATAAAGGAGGAACGCTGCATCGCAGCCTTTTCGGACCAAAACCAGTCGACTCAGCGTCTACACAACCTGCGCCACCTCTGCCCATCCCTAGCCACAGTAGTTATCAACACGTATCGCTGCTCAGCCAAGCTGTTTGTTGGAGGTAGTTTTATCATGTCGGCTGAAGGAACAACCCAGGGTGATCCTTTAGCCATGCCCATGTACGCCGTTGCCATTCTTCCACTGATCCGTTCCCTGTCAGCAGCGAAGGCCACTCAGCTCTGGTATGCGGACGACTCGTCAGCTGCGGGGAGGATCATCCGCCTGCGAGCATGGTGGGACCTTCTCTGCCAGCGGGGTCCGTTGTACGGATACAAGCCGAATCCATCAAAGTCTGTGCTGGTCGTCAAGCCACCGCACCTCGAAGAAGCCAGCAGAATCTTCGAGAGTACTGGTGTCACCATCACCGACGACGGTCACCGCTTTCTTGGAGCAGCTATTGGCACCTCTGGCTTTGTGGATGGCTACCTCAGCCAAAAAGCAGAGTCCTGGAGGAAGGAGGTCCTAACCCTCGCTGAGATCGCCGACTCCCAGCCGCAAGCTGCCTTCTCTGCCTTTACGCATGGCCTGAAGCACCGTTGGTCGTTTCTGTGCCGTGTGATGGAGAGGGCCGCTTCAGCTTTAGGCACGCTGGAGGAAGCAATTGCCTCCCGCCTCATCCCCTCGCTTTGTGGTCGCTCGGTGGGCACCGTTGAACGGAAGTTGCTAAGCTTCCCTTGCAGAGATGGTGGCCTTGGACTCCTCGATCCCACTGCACTCTCTGGTCAGTACAAGGCGTCATGCACCATCACCGCTGCGCTGGTGTCAAAGATCAGCTGCCAGGACCCAGCCCTAGGTGACACCCTCGACACTGTCCGCCAGACCAAGCGGAAACTGGCTAGTGACACCAGACTGGCCACAGGAAGAGCTGCCACTGAATTTCTGCTGTCACTCCCGTCGGGTCTTCAGCATTGCATGAGGCTAGCCAGCGAGAAAGGTGCCTCCTCCTGGCTCACATGTCGCCCCCTGAAGGCGCACGCATTCGCTCTGTCGAAGGGCGAATTTCGGGACGGCCTGGCACTTCGGTATGGTTGGACTCCATCTCATCTTCCAACACATTGTGCCTGTGGTGAATCCTTCACCATTTGCCATGCTCTGTCGTGCTCTCGAGAAGGATTTCCCTCGCTCCGGCATAATGAGGTTCGTGATGTGACGGCGTCTCTCCTCAAGCGTGTTGCCCACAGTGTCGTGCTCGAGCCACACCTGCAACCTATCACTGGCGAATCCTTCAGGCATCGTTCTGCCATCACCAACCCTCAAGCGCGGCTGGATATAGCTGCGAGTGGTGTCTGGGGTGGACGGTTTGATCGCACCTTTTTTGATGTAAGGGTTTTTAACCCATTTGCGAGCTCAAACCGTACCACTTCAGTCCCCTCCAGCTACCAGCGTCACGAGCGAGAGAAACGGCGTTGCTATGAGGAGCGAGTCTGTGAAGTCGAGCATGGCTCCTTCTGCCCCGTCGTTCTCTCCACATCTGGAGGCATGGGGAAGTCGCGACATCGCTATACAAGCGCATTGCTGACATGCTATCGGAAAAGTGCCAGGACCCCTACTCCAGGGTAATGGCATGGATCCGCTGCCGGGTAAGCTTTGCGCTTCTTCGTGCCTGCATTGCCTGCCTACGTGGAGCTCGTCGTCCGATCTTCACTCCCTCCGTCACAGCTGCTTCGGTAGATCTCGTGGTTGCCGAGGCTAGGCTCCGATAACTGAATGATCCTCCTTGAACAGACTCCTGCAATCGATGTTATGAGAGTTCTCCCATTAATATTATTACTCTTTTTTCGTCGCTTTTTTCGTATTATTAGTTTGTTTCTTTTGTTATGATTTCTTGTGTTTTTCACTCGGCTTTATTATCATTTAACTTATTATTTGGTGCACATTAGCGCTACATGGTTTATAATTTCCCTTTTTCTTGATTTTGTATTTAGCGCTTTCGGGTGTTATTATTTATTTTTCTTATTTTCGCACTAAATTATTATTTTTGGCTACCGTTCTGCTTTCGTTTCGCGTGGATATTTGTAAAATTGTTTTATGCAAAAAAAATAAGGCCACCTCTTCAGAAAAAAAAAAAAAAAAAAAAAAAAACTCAGCGTCCAAAAGACTACAACATATGGGCCAATCGCGGTCATCCGTGCTTTTATAAGAACGAAATGGCGCTTTTAGTGATATTTTGCATACAAATCCCCATCTAGTAGGGCGCAGTCACCCAGTTTCGGTGGAAGTGTGCGAGTTCGATTGGGATTCAAGTAGGAAGGGAGCGTCTCAGCTTCCTCGGACCAAGACCATTCGACTCAGCACCCCGAAGACTACAACTGGTGAAATTTTAATTTTTGCCTTAACTTCCCCTTTAATTAAACCAGGCTCGAACGTACATCTGTACCTTGCCAGAGTGCTCAGATCTGCAGAGTCAGACTGACAATAATATCATGAGTATAATAATACAGATGAGTTACGAAGTCTGAAGAAAACGGTCTCTGCTATAGGATGACGACTACTACACCATAGCTCAGTGGTTAGAGCATCGCTAGCTACAAGTACAAGCGAGGGTCCCTGGTTCGAGTCCTGGTGGTGACAGTCAATTTTTTCTTCAGACTTTTCCCGTTTTATGTCTTTCCCTCAGCTCAAACTAGTCAAGAGTATAAAATCATCTGTTGATAATGGCCTACGCTGTGGTTGTGAGTAACACAGAATTGTGAGTTCACCAATGCAGTCGAATCACCTGCACTGGTCGTGTTCTGCATGTGCAGTGAACGATCGGCTACTATGCACACAGCCATCACCTACACGCACACACACACACACACACAGCACAGGCAGCAGCAGTACAGGTCGGTTTCAATGGTAACAGAATTCGGGGAAAGATAGCAACACATCTCCCTACACGCAATGCACGGAACAACAACACGAGGCAGAAAATAACGGGAGAAAACAAAACAACTAGGGGTGAGCACCTGTACGAAGTGCCCTGCAAGCAATAGTTCTCTTGTATATGGATATGGATCAGAAGAAGGGCAAGGACACACACGCACAGACACAGGATAGGGCAAAGCATGGAAGGGGAGAAAACAGCAGCACAGCGCTTATGCATGTATAGACACGGAGGCAGTCAAAAACAAACAAAAAAAACAACAACGAAGGGAGTATAGGCGTGTGTTTCATGCGGTGACCGGGCCACAAGAGACCACGGTCGACGGAACAGAGCGTGCACGAGTGTTTCGTATGAAACTAGCAAGAGAAATAAAAACAACATGGCAATCACAGAAAATATCACGAGAAATGTGGTGGAGCAGAAAACGGGAAGCGAGGAAAACCCCGGCAACGAAACAAGAACCCATCTGAGCCTGTCTTTAGTTTGAAAACACAGGGTGGGCCGGATTAGCGAGAAACAATACTGCTCCAACAACATAGAGGCAGGTTTGTTCAGCACGTCCCCCCAAAGGGGAAACCCCAGGCCATTGCAAACAGACTGGGAGGCAAGATTGGGAAAAAGGGGGAAACAGAACTGGGCAAAACATCATCACGTGGACATGATACGTGGTCGACGCAAGGAGAGACCGAACCGCACAGTAAATAAAAGCCCACGACACACACGCGTGCATGCTCGCACGCCCACACACACACAACGGATCACCACGGGATCGGGAGGCAAGATTAAAATAGCAATGCAGACATATTTGAAAAGAAGCCAAGAGTGGGGAGCACGCACGCACGCACACAACGCTCGCCGACACACACATGCAGAATGGACGGTTAGATACACAGCACACTCCGCACACACACACACACACACACACACACACACACACACACACACACACACACACACACACACACACACACACACACACACACTACCAAGACATCCAATAGCGAAGTGCGGCGAAGGAAGTAGGGGGGAAGATCAGCAAACGGATCGCCGATCACGGGGGCCTTGGGGCACACTCAAGGTCACGGCGCGACGCCCAAGACAGTTGTTTATACAGCGTGACACGGCCACGGACATGCACAGACAAACCATACGCCCTCAAACTCTGCTCAGCCATAGCAGGAAGTTGGGGCGAGGGGGGGGGGGGGGGGGGGGCAAGGGAACTACTGTCGCCAGCATCCGCCAACAGGGTTAGGGCGTTAGGGGGTTGGGATCATGATGATGGACTGACAGCGACGACAGTGCACGTTGCACCGACACACAAACACATGACAAGCAAACCGCACCGGGTCTCCTGGTCATGGTGTCAAGTGGTGGTTACCTAGACTGATTAGCAGCAGCAGCAGCACACCTCCTCCTCCCAACAAAGAACAGAGGCACATGTGTGCAGAGGAAACGAGGGCTGGATGAGAGCGCTTGTACCCACATACACACCCATGAGAGAGAGAGAGAGAGAGAGAGAGAGAGAGAGAGAGAGAGAGAGAGAGAAGGGAGGAGGGGGAGCAAAGTTCACATACGACGGACGCACGGCTATGGAATATGGCAGGAATATGCCGTAAAGACGCGCGCACAGAGCAGACAAAGTCACTGGACCCCTCCATGCAGCGGTGTCGATGATGATGATGACGACAGCAATACGTGTACCTGGGCAAATTCCAGTGACAATGATCACACGTGGACACGCGATCATGCTGCCCGGATTGGATTGGATCTGACTGTGGAAACGCATGCACACTCGACCGCCCGGATGGCACGAGATGACACTGCATACGCCCTCTCATGCTGGCCACCTCTCTCACGATGCAAGCTGGCGACGAGATAGCACCTCTGGCGGCGCGGTGCCGGCCGGGAAACCCCCGGGCAACACCTCAAACTCCTTCATTTCAAACAGCTGCCGCTGCTGTAGCTCCCGCTGCCGCTCCAGACGAATACGCTGCAGACGCTTGCTCTCATCAAACCGCTGCAGGCAGCCAAAAACAGACCAGAAACAAGAACACACACACACACACACACACACACACACACACACACACACACACACACACAAACACACACACACACACAAGATTAACACAAAATCGCCCGGCAATGTCTCATCCCAAGCAGCCAGCAATCACACCACGGCAGCTGAAAAATGCTGGGCGTCTGCCGAAAGCACTACGTATAGAAAATGCCACTGAAGCCCAATTCATTATCTGTAGTTTTCCTTGAGCAGTGTTTCTGCTAAGTATTTTCCCTTATCCCTTTTCACTTCCCTTTCGTCTCATCCACCCTTCCAGGAAACTCCCCCGATAAGCATCCATTTACTTTTGGAGAATCCCTCAAACAAAGTCTAAATAAAGTCTATATAAAAAATAAATCACCCCAAGCATAGCAGACCAAGTGGTAGTCTTGCTGCCTGCCAAATTGGTCACGTTGGTCTCCCCGGGAAAGGGGAGAGAGACTCAAAAGGAATATCGGAAAGATAACTCAATTGGCTATTGAACGGCCCAACGGGCGACACCCCCTGACATCTTCAAAACACTCACGTACACACACACACACACACACTCACTCACACACCTCAGACCTGCCCATCGCAGAAGCGATGATAGCGAACAGCTATGTTAGACATAGCAACTTGTGGTGGGATTACACCATTCAACAGCTTGCAACGCTGATGAATTGACCGCCACTAATTTTAGCCTGGTATCCACCACACAGCTGATTGAAGTGGCTTTTTCTGGCCAGTGAATCCCTATTTTTCATTTTTTCATTTTTTTTACACACACACACCACACCACATACTCCGGCATACACTGGCTGTTGGTAACCACCCAGGAGAATGAGAAAGAGAAGAAAGACGTGTGCGACCATAATCGTCGGGAATTGAACCCGCAACCTCTCGATTTGAAATTGACTGCACATACCACTGCACCATATGCAGTGCTGCCAAATAATTTTCGCCCAAAATCGGACACCCTTCACCGCCAAGGCTGGCCACATGGTGCGAATTTTTCTCCTCGGCAATTTTTTTACAGTGAATTCAAAATATCGCCTAAAACAACATGAAAATTCGCTTCGTTGCCATGGTAACCCCAGAGTTGTCATGAATTTTGTAATGATGAGTGTGGTCGCACACTGACTCTGTACAGACTGTCACTGTGTCCGTGTAGATCTACATGCCATCCAGCCTGATCCAGGCATGTAACCGTTACTTTGCACTTCCACAGCCAAGCGCTAGCCTTTTTACAAGCAAATGTACAGTGATTTGTGCCTTCAGTTGCGCTGAAAAGTGAAAGTACAGGACTTCTGCATAGGAAAGTAATGATCTCCGACATTTTGGCTGCTTTTCGGACGTTTCCCTTTTCGGACCGGTTTTCGGAAGAGCCTTCAAAAATCGGACAATGTCCGAAAAATTGGACGGTTTGGCAGCACTGCATATGGGACACACACACTCACTCTCACACACACACACACACACACCAATAGACACCATACAAACGTGCACTAAAGCACACACCCTCTCTCTCTCTCACTCTCTCTCTCTCTACCTGCCTCTGTCTGTCTCTCTCTGTCCCTGTCTGTCTCTCTCTGTCCATCTGTGTCTCTGTCTGTCTGTCTGTCTCTCCTTCTAGTCTCCCACAGACACATGTAACACAGTGCATATTGCATATTTGGGCATGCCTCATTCATTGTACCTTGTATGGAGGGATGCCAGTGGTTTGGGAACAGTAGATCGTGTAGCTTAGGTTCGAGCCACCTTGTTGTAAAGCTTTAATCTTTTTTCTTGTTTTCATACTTTTTTAGCAGGCATCTGTTACTTGACATCATGCATGACTCACTGCATTCCTAGTTGGTGCAGTTGCACCACACCTGTAGTCATGGTAGTCACATGCATAGCTCCTGATTGGACAGAGAGCACTCTGGCCAGGTATAAGTAGGGCTGTCACACTTCAGTTCATCCTCTTCCAATTCAGTCTGATTCTGAGTCTACATCTGATCTACAACTGAACTGTGACCTACTTGTGAGTTTGATCTGATGATTCTCCTTGTCTGCTGCCTGGCCCACTGAGGCCAGGCTACACACACATCACAACAGCCTCTGATCCACGCAGCAAACGACACCAAACAAACAACACTAAAGCTCACCTTCTTCTCCAGCTCCTCGGTACGACTGCGGAACTTGCTGTTGAGCTCCTGGCGTTCTTTCTCGTGCTGCTGCAGCAGGTTAGACATCTGCTTCTTCTGGAACGACACCAGCATCTCGTGCTCAGACTTCAGCTTCGTCTGCAGCAAACCCTGCTGACGGATTTGGGCTTCGTCCAGCTTGATCTGGACACAGGAGAAGCAGCAGAACAGACAGAGAGACATTGGTTACTCACCGACGGACGCACACTGCAGACAAACGTGTACACTCCGCGGTACGGAACACAGCTATCCAGTGTCTAAAACGTACCGTACTTTCCGGCGTATAAGCCGCACCTCCCCACCCCCGTCTTTTTTGTCACGAAACACAGACATATATCCTATTTTTATCACCATTAATTAATTAGACCATCGGAGTATAAGCCGCACCCCTGATGTGGGGGTGAATTTTGAGTGTATAAATTACGGCTTACACGCCAGAAAATACAGTATTGTCCGGGTGACAGGGATTTTTGCTGCCGTCCAACACGTTGTTTCCTGTGGAACTTTGTTTTCGGTGATCCAGATAAACCAGGCAGGTAAATTTAGACTACAACTAAAAAGGCACTAGTATGCACTGTTTATCTGGGGAATGCCGGTCACCTAATACTTCGCTACACCTGCCAGGTCAACGGCGATAAAGATAGCGTTTCCCATCTGATTCCAAACAAGGCGATCTCTGGAAATACAATGTATGGCACAGTAATTCTGTCTAGAAAGACAGACAGAGAAAGAGAGATAGATAGATAGATGGATAGAGGGAGTGAGTGTGTGTGTGTGTGTGTGAGAGAGAGAGAGAGAGAGAGAGAGAGAGAGAGAGAGAGAGAGAGAGAGAGAGAGAGAGAGAGAGAGAGAGAGAGAGAAAGAGTCATTCTTCCAGGGCATCGGCCCCTTCCATAGCCGACACCAACTCACCGTCGATTGCTGCAGCATTTCGGCAATGCTGCGCTCATACTGGCCGGCCAGCGCTGCCATCTTCCGATCCTGCTCCTCCTTGCACTGACGCAGCAACTCCTTGTGCTCCTCCTTGGGGGCGTTGGCGATGATTTGCTTTTGCAGCTGCTTGAACTGCTGCGTCTGGATCTTCATGGCTCCGCGCAGGTGCTTGCGAATGTGGCTCTGACGGTTCTACGCATGATGAGCACAGAAAATACAAAGATATACTATAGTATTTAAATAACCGACGAGGAGACAACAGTCGTAAAATAGCAATGAAAAATATCAATTGTGCACTCATAACCACAGCTGCCACATTCATCTACTGCTACCATTCTCAGATACACTGCAAAGGTTCACACTACACGCGTTATGCATAACCGCTAGCTGTGCTGCATTCTCACGCTTCTCTTCATATTACTCTAGCTATATAACAGGTTGTTTTAGTGATTCTTACTATGTGACGATGTTCCACTGATGATGGTCACACGAAAACGTTCTGGAATTGTTTCATTTTAATTGTTTATACATGGTTATGAGTGCACAATTGACATTTTTAATATACTATAGTGCGTTACAAAAGTATAGACTTTTTCGAATGATTCAAATTTGGTTCGAGATTTTTGAGAAGTTTCTGCAGAATATTGCTCGCGCAATTTTTCTCATATAAATTTCTAAGCGATTGGATAACAGACGCCCAATTTCGAAAACTTATGCACAACGAGATCACAGATTTTATGTGGTATAGACGCTGGCCTAATGGTTTTTAGAAATCAGAGGTCTGGACTTTCGAAACGCACTATAGTAGACACGGTTTCGCTCCATAGGTTCGAGATCTACTGTGATAAGGATGGCGCAACTCCTCGGTAGCCTTGTCGTGATTTGAATTTCTACCGAAGTTTTTGGAGAGATCTGGAGATCTGGTGTTTATCATTATTTTTTTCTGTGCAGCCAAGGACTTGATTCGGCTGTGTGTGGTAGAACACCCGCACGCGACCATGCCAAGGTGGCTGTGTGGGGTAGAACACCCCCACGCGACCATGCCAAGGTGGCTGTGTGGGGTAGAACACCCCCACGCGACCATGCCAAGGTGGCTGTGTGGGGTAGAACACCCCCACGCGACCATGCCAAGGTGGCTGTGTGGGGTAGAACACCCCCACGCGACCATGCCAAGGTGGCTGTGTGGGGTATTATGTGAGTATGCTGGGATTAGCAATGCACTGCTCAGCGCCCTACACACCCCTGCCCAGGTGGTTGCCTGGGGTGCCGATGGTACAAATTACATCATTGCGCAATGTGCTTATTGTGATCTCGCCTTACCTTGAGACTCTTCGGCTGCTGTTTGATCTCCAGCATGTGTTTGCGCTGTAGCTCTCTCTCGCTGCGTTTGTTGTACTCGGTCTGATTGGACAACTCCTCGGTGTGCTGCTTCTCCAGCTGCGTGAGGCGCAGCGACTGCATGGCCATCAGGTGCTTCTCCTCCACGTCCTGCGTGGCGCTGTGGTGGCGCTGACGCATCTCCTGCGCAGAGTCCTTGTGCGCCTGCATCACATTCAGCTCCTGCACGACAACAACAAGAACGCAACACCACACAACAGCGACGACGATAACAGCAACAACAACGACAACAACAACAACAGCAGCAGCAACAACAACAACAACAACAGCAGAAGTAACAGCAACAGCAGCAGCAGCAACAACAAGACCGATGCCCGAAGCACACGGGAGGTACAGGAACGAGGAGTAAGGGGTCCACACAAACACACAAGGCCACTGTAGAGATAATTTCACCCTATTGAACAACGCATCTACAATATTTCACAAGTAGACAAACTGACTGTAAAACCAGAGCAAGAGAAAACTTGCACAGCGCAAGTGCATGCCAACAACACACTCTTTGTTTCAACCTTGATGTAGTGCCCCTCCGACAGCAATACCCGACAAGCACCGAGGGCATGCTTTTAAAGAAGCACCGGGATCAACACGCATGCATGCAAGCACACACGCACAACCACACACACACACAACGAACAGCGGGGGAATTCCTGGAAACGAACACCGACAAGCCGTGCAGTGGCACACAAACTCGGCCAATCCAAGAAGAGAGCAGAGCTACTCGCTCCAGACATGAGAACATACAGGAAAACACTTAAAGCAAGTGCATACCCGCAATTCTAATCGCAACAAACCCCAATAAAGGAGGTAAGCAGCAGCATTCGGCCCTATATAGATTTTTCTTCAACCCCCACACCAAACCTGCGCTTTCCAGCAAACCCAACCCAGCCTAGTACACACACATGTACCACGGCTGTACAGCGGGGAGAGAAAAAAGAGAGCGGCGTACCTCTTCGATGAGGCTCTTCTCGAACGCGTGCCGCTGAATCATCAGGTCTCGCCGGAACTGCATCAGGATGGCGCCGGCTGACTCGCGCATGTCCGTCACCTTGCTGGCCTCGTTGGTAGCGTGCCGCTCCAGAATGGCCTCCTTGCGCTGGCGTAGCAGAGACTTGCGGTCAGAGGAAGTCAGCGACGAATCCTCTTCCAGCTCCTGGACAGACATATTTACACAGCAGCAAAGTTGGAACGTAGTTGTGAAGGGGTGAGGCATCCCACAGCTTCATAGCTCAAAGAGAAGTGGTGAGCGCACGTGCTCCTTCCCTGGGCACTACAAATTCACAACTCAGCTTGCAGTGGATTTGCAGTGCCCAGGGAAAGAGCACGTGTGCTCACCACTTCTCGTTGAGCAAAGTTGGAGAAGTAGTAACAGTATGATGGTGAGCCCAGACCAAGAATTAACTACAAGCACTTCATTCAATGATTCATGTGAGGAATCGACGCTAGAAGACCCATCCATGTTTGGCAGCGCATGTATTCAGCAAGGGCATAGTCCAAATATGGCTGCAATGGGGTGGACGGCATCTGGTTGGTTCATGAACTTAGCAACTATCCAATAGCAGCGACAGTACTACACTGGTTGCAGTCTCATGACAACCATGCACTGCGGATGTAGAATGTGCTAGAACATGTGAGCAGGCACACGCAGGCACAGAAAAACACACCCCAAACAAACCATGCATATCAAACAATCACAAATTTCGTGATGGACTGCACAGAAGCATGACAGCCGAGAAAGACGAGAAGTTCCCTGGCTGGAACATCATCATATCAACTTATGAGCATGTCAAACGACTGTAAAACCAGAGCAAGAGAAAACTTGCACAGCGCAAGTGCACGCCAACAACACACTCTTGGTTTCGAACTTGATGTAGTGCCCCTCCGACAGCAACACCCGACAAGAACCGAGGGCATGCTTTTAAAGAAGCACCGGACGAGTGAGCTAGGTGTATGAGTGTGTGTGTGTGTGTGCCAGCCGTGAGCGGTTCAACAGCCAATCGAATCATTCTTCAAGGGTGCCTCATGAATCTCTCTCTCCTCTCCGGGGGAGACTCACGCGACCAGTTTATGGCAGTGAGCACACACACATGCGCGCGCACACAAACTAACGAGAGAGAAACTGGAAAAGAAAAGCGCCACTGGTGTCCGAAGGAGGCAACCGTACCTTTTTGGAGACGACTTTCTGCTCCTTATACTGAGCTTTGAGGGAGTTTTGAAAAGCCTTCAGTTCGCTGTCATGATGGTCTTTCTGCTGGCGACAGAACTTCTTCTCCTCGTGTGTCAGGTTACGGCACTATGCAGAAACAAACAAACAAACAAAGAGAGCGGAAATAGTCAAGCCAGTAGAGTTTAGGATATCCTAGGAAATTTCCTAGCTGGAACATCATCATATCAACTTATGAGCAGGTCAAACGACTGTAAAACCAGAGCAAGAGAAAACTTGCACAGCGCAAGTGCACGCCAACAACACACTCTTGGTTTCAACCTTGATATAGTGCCCCTCCGACAGCAATACCCGACAAGAACCGAGGGCAAGCTTTTAAAGAAGCACCGAACAAAGAGCTAGGTGTGTGCAGACACAAACAAAGAGAGCGGAAATAGTCAAGCCAGCAGAGATAAGGATATCCTACAAATTGAAATAAAGTGGAAAAATCTTAACTTAGAGTTCGGCTTCGCTGAGCTTACCATGACATGTATGCCACACACACACACAGACAGACACACGCACACACAGACAGACAGACACACACACACACACATATCCCGTCACATCCACAGAGCCGAGGCGGCAACGACATACCTTGCTCTCCAGCTCGGTTCTGGCCTTCACTCGCACTTTCTCCATCTCGCGCTCATAAAGATGACTCTGTGCTTCAATCTCGCGATCAAGCACCCGTCGATGATCCGTCATCTCGTCATTCTGCTTGCGATTGAGATTCCGAAGCTGAAGTGGAAGAGGGGATAGGAATCAACAAATAACAAGTGAGACGACGGCAAAGAGAAATAGGAGATGCTGTGCAGAGTTTTTTTTTAAAATCACTGGCTGTTCGTCTCTGCTTATCGCTTCCACCACACCTGCGTTAACAAATATACTCCCCGTCTGCCTGCCTGTCTCCCCGTCTGTCTCTGTATATCGCCACCACGCCACCACCACGCGTGCGTTTCCACTCTCGGTCCCTCTCTGCACACTGTAAATACCACAACTGCATATTTATACAGAGCTTCAAAGCACACCTCCGGTGGCAGTGAGGACAAGCAAGCTAGCACAAGCCAACGCACCTGCTTTGTATGCTGTTGGCGCAGGTCTTTGTACAGTGCCATCTGCTCGCGGAAGTTGTTGGCCTCCAAGTGCTGCTCCTGTTCCTTGTCGACCAGCGCTTGCGGACGCAGGGTGCTGAACTGAGAGTTCTCATACGTCATCTGCACATGACACACAAACGCACGCACACACACACACACGTATACACACACACACACACGTACACAAACCACAGAGATGCTTTGGGATCAGAGCATGACAAGGAACAAAGTTTTCAAGGCAACTGAAGATTGCTTTTGGGAAGAGAGCGAGAAAGAGAGAGCGAGAAAAGAGAGAGCGAGAAAGAGACAGAGAGAAAGAGAGAGCGAGCGCAAAAAGAGAGAGAATGAGAGAGTACGATTCGGGTACGATAGTTGCACGACACATGCTGGTCTGGCACCTGATGAAAACTCCATCATCTGGAAACCCGCTTTCGAACCTTTCCCTTGTAGTCAAACTCTCAGCGTGATGCCAATTTCTGATGATAATGACATTAATTAACGACGTTCAAATCCATACACACTGTCCCATTGGCGTCGTGGTATGAGTGTGCACACTATATTTCCTTCGATATTACTCATATTAGGTTTCTTGTCCTCTTGCCACGCCGCCTTTTAAACGAGTATAAAAGATAGTAAGAACGGGGTAGGTGACAACTCAGAACCTCCAGCTCTGCCGCACCAGAAGCATTGTACCCGAGAAGCACGTACGCATACCCAGTAAGCCAGCGTAAGCACACAGCCCCCCCCCCCCCCCCCAACATGCCAGCGGAAAAAGACGAGAAATTCCCTAGCCGGAACACCCTAGCCGGAATATCAACATATCAACTTATGAGCATGTCAAACGACTGTAAAACCAGAGCAAGAGAAAACTTGCACCGCGCAAGTGCACGCCAACAACACGCTCCTGGTTTCAACCTTAATATAGTGCCCCTCCGACAGCAATACCCGACAAGAACCGAGGGCAAGCTTTTAAAGAAGCACCGAACGAGCGAGCTAAGTGTGTGCGTGTGTGTGACAGCCGTTGGGCGGTTCGAGCAAGCTCGCAGGCGCACACCCAGCAAGGCAGGCATCCACCCACGCACACAACACACCGGTCCACACTTGTGGCAGCTCGAGAGAGTACTGAATCATGTGTGCAGAACCGTATACAGACACAGGGAATGGAAACTAAAGGCGCTGATACTCCGAGTGTCACGCTTTATCAACCCATCACACAACACCGCCAATACATACCGGTCTATTAACAGCTGTTATGGAGATCGTGAACGGCGAGGGAGTTGGTGAGCTCATGTCGTTTCCTGTGGCACCGCTGCTCAGGATTGAGGAGGAGACGGACGACATTGAAGAGGACATACCGCTCTCGGAGCTCTCCGCACTTTCCGGCCGCTCTAACGTTGTCTGTGTACGCGTCACGTTGGCGCACGCGTGTGTGCACACAGACGTACACAAACACACATGTGCACACAGACGTACACAGACGCGTGCGCACACACACAGACACACTCACACACACAGACACACACATATAACATATACACACAGATTGAGTAGATATACACACACAGACACACACACAAACACACCGAGGCGCTGGAGCGTGTCTATGGTACAGGTACTACCAAAGAAAAAGAAGAAGTGTTTCGAAAGCACGAGGTAAGTATGTACAAGTTTGAGATGGATGCGTGGCCTCTCCCTTTTCCAAACATACACTTGATCCCAACGCCATGAAGACGGTACTCGACAACATACTGCAGTTCCCTATTGGATTATGTGTGTTAGTGTTTGTTCGGTGTATTGAAATCTTAGGTGTGAAACAGACGCACCGGAAGTACCGAAAATAAAAGTACACCGAAAATTTGTGAAATCACAGTACATGGCTGCTATGGGGTGGATGCCGTTCGGTCCATGAAAGACGAGAAATAGCCTAGCTGGAACACCCTAGCTGGAACATCATCATATCAACTTATGAGCACGTCAAACGACTGTAAAACCAGAGCAAGAGAAAACTTGCACCGGCGCCGCGCAAGTGCACGCCAACAACACACTCTTGGTTTCAACCTTGATATAGTGCCCCTCCGACAGCAACACCCGACAAGAACCGAGGGCATGCTTTTAACCCTTTACCATCCGTGCGTACTTGAATCGATCTCTAGAGATCGATGGACATGCATACACTAAAACATTCGTAACTCGATCAATTCTTGACGGAATCTCACAAACTAAGTATGTAGGAAGGAGCCGAAGAGCTCAGCTGTCCATTGCAACAATCGGCGAAGAGCTGCGATGTCCCATTCCAAAGATATTACACTCGACATTTCAGCCACGGCAAAAGTCGAATTTCTTTCCGAGTGACTGACCTTGAGCGGGGATTTTCCCCTCTCCTGACATGCTGAGTCACTTTGGCATGCTTTGAGCGCGTAGGCAGCATGAAAAGAGACTCAAGCAAAAAAATTGGAATGTTTACGATGAAGGAGCGAGAAATAGCTGGCGAGGAGACAATTTCCTCGTATATCCAGCGATGGGGTCTATTCGCAGCTCCCTGGCGCTGCATATGTGATCTCGGTAGTGTCCTGTTTGAGCTCAACGTACGCAGCTCGTGGAGAGCTTTCCAGAATGCCCAAGATTGTGAAAATTGGTTGATTAGAACCGAAGATATTCTCAGAATAAGGTGGGAATTATTGCATTTGGGACTGCTGGGGAATTTTGGTCGGATGGTAAAGGGTTAAAGAAGCACCGAACAAAGAGCTAGGTGTGTGTGTGTGTGTGTGTGTGTGTGTGTGTGTGTGTGTGTGTGTGTGTGTGTGTGTGTGTCAGCCGTTGGGCAGGTCAACAGCCAATCGAGTCAATTTTCCAAGTTTGCATCTTGCAGCATTTCGCAGCCCAGTGTTCGGATGTCTAGGGCTGCGCAACGCCCGGCGTGTACTTGAGAGACCTGGCCGGATTTCATTGAGCAGCACTACACCTGAACTCGGACTGACCTTCATTGCCTCGTGGAACGATGACTTGGTTTTCCTGCTTAGCGGTGCTGCCGTACCCGCACTATTTGTTCTCGACGTGGGAGCGGACATGGAGCCACTGCCGCCACCCGGGCTTGCCACGAAATCCGGAGCACCGCTCCTTACCGAGCCACCGCTTAACTGGCTCGAGACTTTCGGTCGTGTCGATGTGGAGCCTTCGCTGCTCGTGGGCGCGGACGATGACATTGCGCTCGCTGCCGCTGCGACGGGTGGTGCTGCTCTGGGCAGGCTTGTTCGACTTGCCGCCGACGTGACACTGCCACGATGATGGTGGTTGGAGGGCGTTGAAGGGATTGGTGCCGCCGCTGCTATGTCACCTGTACAGCGAGAGAGAGAGAGAGAGAGAGAGAGAGAGAGAGAGAGAGAGAGAGAGAGAGAGAGAGAGAGAGAGAGAGAGAGAGAGAGAAAGAGAGAGAGGGAGGGAGATAGATAGAGAGAGAGAGTGAGAGAGAGAAAGAGAGAGAGAGAGAGAGAGACAGAGAGAGAGGGAGAGATCGATTGTAGATATGAATGCAAGTAAAGCATAGAGCTGTGGTTCACTGATAGAAACGTAACCAGGCATCCAGAGTAGAGCAGAGCACACTAACACAATACAGCCCTTCGCCAACGCCATCGCAAAAGTAAGCGTATTTCCCCGATTACAAGCCGCACCTGCACTTTCTGGTCTGAACCATAATATTGTTCCAATATGTAGGGTGTCACAGTTGATTGTAAGTCGCATCCCCCTCCCTACTCGGGAAGTTTAGCTTTAAACGGTGCAACCAATATTCGGGGAAATACTGCAGCGCCATGAAAGCAACGGGAAAGCAGGGGGAGAGAGAGAGATAGAGTACAGCACAAGTACTGACCTCGTTCACTGCGACTCTCCACCGTCAGGGTCGGCTCGCCGCCACTGGTGACCGAGGCCATTGTGGAGTTGGTCGGCGTGCCAACGATGGAGTCGCCGGGACTCTGCACGCTGTTACGGTGACCCAGGGTGTTGTTGCTGGAGCTGCTACCCACTGCTCCATTGCCGGCCGCCGAGGAGGCAGAGGGGGGACCGGTGGGCGTTGTACTGCTTGCTGACAAGTCAAAACCCATGTTGGCCTGAAACACCCACACGCAAATACACCCACACATCCGCCCACACACACCCACACATACACAACCAAAAGGAAACATTTAGACTTTTCCTTAGAGGGTGCAACTCTCTGTATACTTTGAGTCCGAAGGTAAAGGGTGATTGGTGTCATTGTTGCACAACCACTGCATGTGGATTGGTTAGCGTCGTTCAGCAGTTCATGAAACTCTGGCATGCACCCGGAACAGTAAATAGTTACTACAGGTAGACTCCCTCTAATTCGAATACGGTATAATTCGAACATTCCGTGTAATTCGAACTTTTTCGTCGTACCGATTTTCTGCAAGTCACTTCAAGTCAAAATCGAATGCATAATTCGAAGTACGAAAAGTGCGCCGGTTGGATAATTCGAACCCAGTCTTCGTACAGAAGAGCTGTTTACAGTACATTGGCTATGTCCTTTGAACGCTTACCGTAAAGTCGCGAATAAAAGCCGGGCGTATAAGCACATAAGCCGCTTTCTGCATCAGGCTTTAATGCAAGCCAGGCTTGTATGCAAACCATGCTTATGCACCACTGATATTTTTGCCAGGCTTGTATGCACATAGAAGCCAGGCTTCTACGCGCGACACGCGTAGATCTACCACTGACTACCGGTATGACGGCAGTTTTACTATGCACCGTACATAGCGCACGCACTCTTGACCTACCCGATTCGCGCTTGCATAGAAGCCAGGCTTCTACGCGCGACAGGCCTATATGCATTTGACCCGTTTGATTTTCAGGCTTCTATTCGCGATGTGCTTGTATGCAAACCCGGCTTTTATTCGCGACTTTACGGTATTTCGAAGTGAGATTGAGTTGCCATCCTTGTAATTCGAAGTTCATTCTCTTCTCCTTCTCTAGCCAAGAGTAGCTCAAAATCGATCGATGGTCCGCTGCAGGATCGACTATAGCGTTCAAGAAACCCACCTGCTCTCGAAATTTGATGCAAGCCCGTGCGAGGCAAATTGCAAAGGTTTGATTGAAGACGACTTCTTCCAGGTGGCTGACTCTCTTCGCGGATCTCGATGGCCTTTCTTGCAGCGCCAGCTCGTGCGCGGAGATGTTGGCGCACAACAACACTATTGTCGTAAATATTGTCTATGCCTATGCTCCACTTCCGTTCTTCAGAACGACGTGCTGCTGTCCGACGGTCTTTCATGACGCGGATTAGGCAGCGCAGTTCTTTTCCGTTGAAATTGTTTCAGGAAAGCTGCAATGACTGACAACTTCTTCACTAGAGATGAAGATAATGTCAAAATGATTTTGCGTCGATCCAGTGTTTTGATGATCCGTTGTACATGACCGGTACGACCATAATGCTATATGTTTCGTTGATGCAAATAAAAATGTGCAAAAATATTCAGCATGTGATTTCAAGCATTTTGACATACATATCATAGTCCATCATCCATCAACTCAGAAGTCGTCAAATTCAAGCACCCTGTTGCACTTAGAAATCGATTACTTCATTTTGGCCTCAATGGGGAGTTTAGGTACCCTGCACACCGAATCCGCAAATAAAAAGAGTAAACGACTTGCACGCTTTGCAGGGGGAAGCCAACAAAGTGACCTTTTTTGGCATTTCATCGACAGCCATTGTTGTGACCTAAACCCAATCTGCAATCAGTGCCATGCGCGTTTCAGGAATGAACTTTTAGATTTTTGTGAATTACGGGAAAAATCTTGCAAATCGAGATTTGCAGTGTAAACCATTGCAGTTTCCGTATTACACGTGTGCCTGGATTCAAATTACAATAAAATTGTTGTTCGCCTACTTGTAGAGTGTTGTTCCATTACACATCTCTTTCACTGTTCTATTTAAAATTAAGCATCCGAATATATACCTTCAGGAAGATTACAATGAGCTAGTATTGAACATCATCCACCTTTGGGTTTCCGAAGTATGCACCCCGAGTCATGTCAAGCAGGTTTGAAGCGTAGTTTTTACTGTTAGGCAAAAGTGATCTACGCTTCCACCCTGAATGGAATGGAAGGTCCTGATCCCTGGAAAAATAAGGAACGTGGAGAGCTAAAAGTAAGGAATCTGCGGCTCTGGATGTTGTACATCGGGTGAGTGCCCTGCAGTTCTCTTCTCCATTAGGCCACCCTTTCTTTTTTCGTTGTTTAACGTCCGCGCCTGCGTACCTTTTTGCCTCCGACCGAAAAAAAAACAAGAAAGTAGTAGTACCAATAATATGCGAAGTTGTAAATACATGATTGTGTAGTTTCACAGTGTGCCGATCATGACCTTAAACTTATAATCTTGCCTCCCGGGCATGCCTTTGTCTTGTGTTCTTTTTCTTTTTTTGTTGGCTTTTAAATATCGTACGGTGTGTGTCCTAGTAAAATCCAGATGTAATGAATTCATGACATGCTAACTCCATGCTATGTACCTGTTTTGTTGGATTCATCAGGCATAGGCCCATTGCGTAATGATGTCATGCGTACGCGACCAACCTGGAAAGTGCCGAGTTGTGGGCAGAAGCAAATCTCGGCCTTGTATTCGTAATGTCAGCTTCTGCAAGGAAAACTTTTCGTAGTCTTTTGTTTGTCGGTGATGGAGGCGCAGGCTGTGAAGCTCTCCGAGGACGATGTGCCTTGAGCATCGTTAGGTCGGAATACTGATGCCTCTCAATGCTTGGCAAGTCAACTTTCCGTGAAAGAATTGAAGCGTTGGCTAGCTTGCCGTAATGCTCGTCGATCGGGAACGAAACCTGAATTGCTGATAGTGCTAAGCTGCTGATGATGCTGTCCCTGCTGAAGTTGATGTTCCAGCTGATAGTGCTGTAGCTGCTGATAGTGCTGTCCCTGCTGAAGTTGATGACGAATGGGAGGATGATAAGGGGAGGATGACGAGGAGGATGGTGATTCAGGCACAGCCAAGTACAGCTCGTTCCGTGGAATAGACAAAGGGTTCAGCTTTTCTAGTCAGGCCACATCCAGAAGATCCAGTTCAATTCACTGCCTGTCTTTCCACAATTCTGTTTTGTACGCTGCGTCCTCCTGCCCTCTTTCCGTAAGGACAGGAAATACAACGTTCGGATATGCTGCACTGCTGGCGGTGTGCCACATGTCCCTACGGTTCTCACTGCCTACTGCACATGCCCTGCTGGTTAGCTGGTTCCTGTAACCACATAGCGGGCCTATTATATGCATTGGAGGACTTTGTGAGGCTTGGCCTGCGTGAAGAGGCAGCCAAAACTTGTACTGAGAAACTTATGCAATGGAATCATCCCCGAGCAGCAACCGTCAAGGCCAGCAGAGTAACGGAAGTCCACCTGAAGAAGGACATGTATTCAGGCAGAGATCTTGGAGAAAAGAAAAAGAGCATCCCGTTTTATGACCCAGGCCTACAAACCGCAGATTTGTCAACCCTGAGGCAGTTGCCAGGCTGCGTAATGACTTGGAGCGCGTTGAGGAGAAAGCTCTGGCAGAGGACAAATCGGGAAAGATCAAGATGTATGGCAGCTCATGTTGGCTAAAGCTACTTGAACCTTCTCCTGTCCCAAGCTCAGATGACTCGGAATGTGACGAGGGCAGCAGCAGTGAGTCAGACAATGAGCGCCAGATGGGTGAACCAGAGTCTTCTTGTGAGGCGCCTGTGCCTATGGCCGCTATTGATCCGGAATCACCTGCTGATATTTATGAACACCGTGTTGCTGTGTCCAGTGCCCGTGCAGCTGAAATTGCAAGGGAGACGAAGGGACAGTCAACTAACCTCTCCTTGTACAATGAGCGGTGACTACGAGTGACTGCAACACTTGTTAAGAGCAATGCAAGCCGACGAAGTGATGATTTCTCCACCATCATCAACAGGAAATTGGCTCCACCGCAGCATCCTACAGCGGCTATGAAGTATGGCTTAGCGCATGAACGTGTGCTGCCAAAGCCTACATCACACGTGCACAGACTTCGGATGTTCCTGTTGTCGTCGAATCCTGTGGCCTTTTCATCCATCCAACCAAACCATGGCTTAGTGCTTCGCCTGATGGTCTGTCTCGTCATGGTCAATGGCAAACTGCAGCGTGTGGTGGAGATCAAGTGTCCTTTCACCATGCGGAATGTATGTCGCTTCGTGAGTTTGCTGGACGGCGGACTTCATGCTTGACGAATGTTGATGGCAATTTGGTCCTCAAGCGAACGCACACCTACTACTACCAAGTTCAAACGCAGATGTATGTTTGCGGTGTGCAGGCTGCCGACTTTGTCATATGGTTTCCAGATGGTCTGTTTGTGGAAACTGTCGCTGTTGATCATTCCCTTGTGAAGGAGTTTCTGCCCCGACTGGAAAAATTTTATATCTCGCATTACCTTCCGGCCGTTCATGCTGCTCTAATGTGATGTTGTTCTTAATGTCAACACTGGACTTCTTTGGAACTTTCTTTTCCTAGTTACTTCACCATAGCACTGTTTGAGAACTCACAATCTTCTTTCAAAGTGATTGTTTTTCCATTCAATCATAAAAATTAATACACTGTTTGTACTCGTGGAGTACTGAACACGATTAGTAGGCGTCTGAGTACTGGCGGGGTAAAGGACTGGTTTATTGGATGTGCCAACAGGAAGCACTAGTAAAAGGATTGGCAGCTTAGAACACCGTAGGTGACGAAATACAATAATGGTCAAATAATAGGGTGTGGGGTGGTGCCAAAACAAGAAAGAACAGAGTAATCACAACGCTCTCAACACAGCAAATAGAAAGAATAATGTGCACAGTGCTAAGCTGCACCTAAATAATAAAGTTTCTGGGAACACCACCGTTATCTGTGATAATAATAAAATGTTCGCTTATTTACATAATTATGTACATTGTTAAGCAGGACAGGGCGATTTATGAATGAAGGTGTGAAAATCGTATTCACATCAAGACCATATCAGGTAGCAACCAATGTGGGTTGGTAATTGCACAAAACACACGGTGAGAAGACAGCTTGCTCAAGAATATCAAATAAATTGTTGTCAATGACACCATCCAGAAGACGATATTGCATGCTTACTTTGCCCACAACTCGGCACTTTGCCACGAAACGCGATTACATCATGTCTCCCAAATATGGGATTACGCAATGAGCTTATGTGCTCCAATGTACCATCAAAGAGTGTTGTTCTATGCCTGCAAGTGCCGTTAGACCCAGAAATATTGTATATATCACATGCTTTACTGGTCAAAAGGTTTGATTGGGGTTTCCAGTTTTTGGAATGGGCTTCTGTTTTTTCGCCCTCCCGCGTACCTTTTCGCGAAAAAAGGACGTTAAACAATGAATTAACAAAGGGTGGCCTTACGACCAACTAGCAAACGCCATGGCTCTGGATGCTGACAGCAAACAGTTGAAATAAATGCAAGGCTGCTTTGAGCTTGTAGCAACCAGGTAGTAGTACAGTTACAGTTGAACTACTATCTAGTTGCAACGTTGAGATTCAGTATTGATACCATTGTAGTTGCAAGCAAGTTACTACAACAATTGCAGTACAATAGTCGTGTAGTTTTTTGAAAATGGTGATCATCTTCATCTTCTTCCCGGTGCGCATGTACGCATATTATTTGAATCTGTGCGTGCTCCAAGCCAACTCACCTCTGCTCAAATTGACGGCGATTTATTTCGCGATTTTAGGTCGATCGCCACGGAAAACCACACCAAACGTTGACAAAACTCCACGTTTTTCACTGAAGACGCATTGGATGTCCTAATAAAACGGATGGAAAACCTCGTAATGGCTGACGAAGAAGAAGAAATTTGTCGAACTTCCAAGGCGCACTGCAAAAGGAGAGCAAGAGTTTCGCCAGGGAAAGTAGGCAGGTCGGATTCAGTGATGCTTTTGCTGTCGATTGATGTCAGTTCCAGGTGTTCGATTTGTAAGTGCAACAGGGGACTCACTTTCGCACCACTGGCTGATGGACTATCAGTGCATGGGGCTACATTCGGATAATTAGAAGTTAGGGCCTGGCAATTTGAGGTTCAAATTAAAGGGAGTCTACCTGTATACGCAGATAACACATACAGTCAACTTCGCTAATAACGACTTCGGATATAACGACAATTCGCGAATAACGACAGCATTTCCATGCCCAGAGCAAAGTCCCTTCCAACTGTAATACATATAATAAGACTTCGGATATAACGACACTTCGCGAATAAGGACACTTTTTTGATGCCCCGCCGAATGTCGTTATAAGCGAAGTTGACTGTATACCACACTGCTTTACTTACTTCAGTGTCTGGAGATACGTGGATTTTGTAGAGAGAAAAAAACCCTATGTACAGAAAATCCTGTCAAGGCGACCACCTGTCCCAGAAGATCACTGCAACCAGGACCAAGAATGCTATTTCCAGTCAAATGACCCTGGATAAGGAGACCAAATGGTAACGGAGACCACGTTTTGAATGTCCGTTGAGCGGTCGTCTTAGACAGGTTTCACCAAGAGTACATGAAAACCAGAGTGTGCAGCTTGGGGCCTTTTCTGCTATGGGTGTCTGTCACGACGGAATTCCGTGATTACATCATGTTTGGCGCAGATCTGCGGCGGGAAATGGCGTAGTGCGTACAACTGAGCTGCAGTTGTGCAGAAAGAGACCTGCTTGAATCACTAAAATGATGTAATCACGGAATTCCGCCGTGACAGCCACCCATCCGAGCTGCACACTCTGGTTTTCATGTACTCTTGGTTTCACTGTACCATGCACCATGTATACGCCCCGTTGCAAGAGAAGCACGCAAATCTGCACATACCAGTCTAGAGTCACCAGCAGCATCGTGATGGCCCGACGTCGAGATGTTATCACAGCTTTGCTCATCCATGTCACTGTCCATCTTCTCCGCAGTACTGCTCACCTGTAAGCATAAGAACAAACAGCCCAGAACCGTAACCACTACTGCTGTAGGGTACTCGTATGTGCACGCCGGCTCGACTATATAAAATAGTTCTACTAGTTGAGCACTCTCACGTGGGGCATTGCGCTTGCTGTTTGCGCTACGCAGAGCTCACAGACTTGTCAGTTTGAGCACTTTGGCAAAGTACGTTCGCGCCTGGTTTAAACCTGGCCGTGGATTTTTTCACTGCTATCAAGTTCGGCCACAATTTTTTATGTGATGTGCTGGCAAGTCCACAAAGGACGAAACAGTTCTGTCCGCAGATTGAGTAGTTCTACAGTTGTGGCAAGTGAAATCCGACACTTGCCATAGGGGACAGCGCCTCAAATGGACATCAATGATGTAATGCACTGCACCTAATTTGTACTATAGAGCCGTATGCATCCCAAACAGATCGAAAGGTCACAGCGTAGATACACACAGTTCACAAATATGGTACACATAATGAGTATTAACTGGTTTGAGGGAAATCCAATTCCCATTCATTTTTGCCAGCACCTTTTGAACCTTGACTGTGATGAGTACGAATTCTGTCATCAGACAGATAAAGTTGTATGTAACACATGTACTGTACGTATGCAGGGCTGCAGGATGCACGGTGCAGTCCCTTATGCCAAGTGTCGGATTTCACTTGCAACAACTGTACATGAGATTGGCCTAGGCAAGGACTCTGCGCCTCAGTTCAAAACGGGGGGGGGGGGGGGGGTCCCTCACCAGACAGTAGCGTATGCTGAAATATGCTCACCTCCGTGTCGGCATCGGACGTCTGAGACTCTCGGTCCGCAGTCTGTCGCTCGTCCAGAGCTAAATGGCTGACGGTGACGTCGAGTAGGTCCAGGTCGCTGTCTTCACCGTCCGCCATCAGTACCTGTCAGCGAAGTGTGCGTGAAAACACACACAAGATAATAATTAAGTCAATGCACCGTCCGAAACAGACGTCCAGGTAGACGCACAAGAACACAGGAACACGCAAGTGACCAAACAAGCCCCCCCCCCCCCCCCCCCCCCGGACACCCACCCATATACTAGTACATGTACACCCACACACACACACCCATTCAGACTCACCCACCCGCACAGACACACACACACAGAACACACACAGAGGCAAGAAGTCAGGAAGCACAGGTGCAAGTGCGGTAGGTAGTTTACGAGCAGCCATGCCGTGGACAACCGGACACAAACACGTCGGCTGGACCGTGAGGAGAGGGAAAGGAATCAGAATGCACAAATGAGAGAGAGCTTGGCGGAAACAAAGCTACCAGAACAGCCCACATCCTTGTCCCCAGGCAGCATGCACAATGCAATGCCATGGGCCCATTGCACAATGACATAATTCGTACCTTATTCCTTAACCATAAACAACACCCCACAGGCACAGCCACCTGGGCATGGTCGTGTGGGGGTGTTGCACAGTGCATTCCTGACCCTAGCGGACTCATTACGGCAATGCGCAATCGGCGTATGCCAAACGGGATTAGATCAGTAAGACAGATCCCCACAAGCGTCATCCTACCTTCTTCATCTTGCGGTAGTTGAGATTATCCAGCTTGCGCACGGCTCGCTTCGTTCTTGAGATCATCCCCAGTATGCTTTTGGGCATATCAGTGCGATCCAAAAACCGATGCTGCAAAGAGTGGACACACACACACAACAAGTACACAGACATACTGCTTACAAAGAGAAACTAAATTCAGGCTCTATTGATTACGAGACACGTATAAAGAGATCTACATTGTAGCGTCAGAGCTAGAGATAAATAAATACATAGACAGGCAGACAGACCCAGACAGACCCAGAGAGAGAGAGAGAGAGAGAGAGAGAGAGAGAGAGAGAGAGAGAGAGAGAGAGAGAGAGAGAGAGAGAGAGAGAGAGAGAGAGAGAGAGAGAGAGAGAGAGAGAGAGAGAGAGAGAGACAGAGAGAGAAAGAGAGAGAGAGAGAGAGAGAGAGAGAGAGAGAGAGAGAGAGAGAGAGAGAGAGAGAGAGAGAGAGAGAGAGAGAGAGAGAGAGAGTAAGTTACATTTATAAAGACAGGTAAGTCTAACAAATGAGGACTGAGACCTCTACAACAGGGTTTTTACGCCTGAAAGCAGGTGCATGATTTAACAAGCAGGTTGTCAGTCTAGATTTTATGCGCAGATGGAGAAAAAGCGCAGAATTTTTGTAATGAGATGAAAAGCAGAAATAATAAGAAATAATAAGAAAAGATGAAATGAAAGCCTGCTCACAACCCCGCCCAGCCTTGCGAACTGGGTATGGTGGATTAAGAACCCGGTTCAACGCTCGAGCAAGCGCTCTCCACTCAAGGTGTTCACAGCAACTGATAGGAACTCATATGGGGAAATTATAGAAAAGAAATAATAAGATAAAGAGAATAAATTTCAACGCACCTCAATAAACGGAGCCCCACATACAGTACCTCAGAAAAGTGGATCTTCCGACCAGTGTTTTTGTTGACGTCGCAACCAGATGATGTAGCTGCTTCGCAGAGACGTCTTACTGCACAAATTACAAATAAATTTTATTCTTCGATTAGAAAACCCAAGCGCTTTCAGAGCCCTCCGAAGAGAGTCCGGGATGAAACCACGCACACCTACCTCAACCGAAAAAGAAACGACCTGCCACCCGTTTGCTCGGCATTGATCGGCCAGATCCGCATACCGCCTGTCCTTCCGCGAGTTACTGACACTGAATCTGTCCTCAGCACAAACTGTCAACTCCATCCAGAATACAATCCTACGACTCGTAGAGTACAGAACTACATCTGGTCTTAGGGTGGTAAGTGCAACACAGCTAGGGAAAGAAATCTTTGCACTAACTGAGTCGACAAGAAGTTTCCAGTCTGAGGCCGCTGACAGGAGATCAGTCGTAACCAACTTCCGTCTGGGCTGAACGCGAACTGGCTTCTCTCCCGCCTTGCAAAACGAGATGAAGTCAAGTTCATTTGAATTTTCGGTTTGTACGGTGTTTGCAGCAGTGCGGATTCGAATCTCCTCACGCATGTTCCTGACGATGACCCCGAGTACGTTGTCGTGCCTCCAGGTGTAACGTCCCTGGTCCAGCGCTACGCGACAAGCGCCAAGCACGTGGCGTGTAGTACAGGCCCAGGCACGGCACAAACTACAGTACGGATCCACTACGGTGTTTCCCCAACGGCGTAGGTTCGTCGGAGAAGGTAGCACGTCGAGGGTTGATGCGAGAAGAAATTTCAAATCCTTACCAGTACCACCGTACAAAAGGGATTTCCACGAGAGGTCCTGCCACATCACCGATGTCCACTCCAACCACTTGCCTTGCACCTGAAGAGTCTTCAGCCTCAAAATCTGCTCCTGCGCGTTGATCTCCTCAAATGTTTGAAGGAGATCCTTCCTCGGGGGTTTGGAATGCTGCTTCGGAGCACGAGCACCCAACCCTGCACGATGACTTGAAGATGACGGTGGACGGAGAGTCCCTGAACCTACTGATGCCTCTGCACACTCCAGCTCTATTGTCGCCGCATATCGCTTTGTCAGCTTCGCATCCTTACTCCGACGCAGAGTGTACAGCGCCCTCGATCGAGAGAGAGAGAGAGAGAGAGAGAGAGAGAGAGAGAGAGAGAGAGAGAGAGAGAGCGAGAGAGAGAGCGAGAGAGAGAGAGAGAGAGAGAGAGAGAGAGAGCGAGAGCGAGAGAGAGAGAGAGAGAGAGAGAGAGAGAGAGCGAGAAAGTGTGTGTGTGAGAGAGAGAGAGAGACCGAATGTACCTGCATAAGATGAGAAGATGACGGCCGGTTTTCTGGCTCCTTGTGGAGTGCTTGGGCAACAAAGTCGACAAATGTTGATGACCTGCATTATGCGAAGATAAGCGACACAGCACATGTCAGTGTCTATGCGGATTAGGAATGACACCCACACCCATACATGCACACACCAACGTATGCTCCCCCCCCCCCCCCCCCCTCTCTGTCTCTCTCTTTCGAATGCACACTTGCTACACAAACACACATGCGTGCAAATAGGGCAGTTTGCATCGCCCACCCACCCACCGACCACGCCGGGGCAGAATCACTCACCACTCATGTGCATCCTTCAGCGTCGGTGGTTCGTTCTGCGCTATGTGGTAGAGCGCAGACATGGCATTCATGTTGAACAACGGCGGTTTGCGTTCAGCTGTGCCGGAAAACACAGGGTAACACACAGAGGGTCAAAAGAGCCCCGTTGCAATCAACTAACAAAATCGAATAAGTTTAGAATGTGCTCGCCCCCAGATAGAGTACAGTCGTCCCTCTCTAATCCGGCACTTGTTTATCCAGCACCCTTGCAAACCAGCACACTTTCTGGCAAAACGGATTTTTTCAGTTCATTTTCTACGCTTTAATCCGGCACTTGAATTCCGCCTCCAGCAGCGATTTTCTGCAACAAATCACTCAAACTGTACATAATTCGATTTTCTAATCCAGCAGTTGTACATCGCAGACTGTCAGGGACCATTGTAACATACACAACACATGCAACATACACTTGGGAATATCCTATGCTAGTGCATAAGATATTCTCAAGCGTATGTTATAGACATGCATTCCACAAAGTACTTGGTTTGACACAGAAAATCGCTACGTTTTGACGTACGACACAAACATGTATGATAACATGTGGGCCGGGTTGGAGGGCAGGATTTGATAATCCAGCAGAAAATGCCGTTGCAAAGGGTGCCGGATTAGAGAGCGACGACTGTAGTAACAAAGAGTATGTGAAACCAAGAGTACATACGAGTGTGCAACTCCCAAATACACTGCTGTCCCGACAGAATTTCAAGTTGACATCATTATTTATGATGCAATGCTCCTTGCACCAGTGATTTTCAGCATGTGTACGGGCGTCAACGCATCACACGTTTTTCTTTGCAATAATTTGTACAGGATCAGATAGGCTTTGGTCCACCACAGGTTCCGGATTCGTCTGATAATCCGTGTACAGTGCGCATTGCATCATAAAATGACGTCGACTTGAAATTCTGTCGGGACAGCACCCATAGTCGAGTTGCACACTCTTGGGGGTTGTGTTCTCTTTGATGAAACCCAGAACGTGCAGCTTCTGACTTTTTCTGCATGGGTGTGCGTCACGGCGAAATTCCGCGATTACATCACATCTGGTGCAGATCTGAGGCGGGAAGTGGCGTAGTGCGTACAGCTGAGCTGCAGTTGTGCGGAAAGAGACCTGCTTGTATGCACTACATCACTAAAATGATGTATTCGATGAATTTCGTCGTGACAGCAACCCATCAGAGCTGCACACTCTGGATTTCATGTACTCTGGGTAGTGAGTAGGAAACAGAAACACTGGGAAACAGTGCTTGCACTGCAAACTCACCCAGCTCGATACACGTGATACCAAGAGACCAGATATCCACCTATCAGAGGCAACAACAAAGAGATGGACGAATAGACCATGCACACAAACACACACACACACAACAGAAAAGACAAAAATAATATGAGTGACAAATGAAGAGGAAAGGGCTAGAACTGGTCAACAAGAAAGGCACCTGAACGGCAGGAAGACGATCAAAACTAGTTCTGCACTCCACATCAGCCCAACTCAAACTGGCCTTGGAAGGGAGTTCGACCACCCCTCCCCCCCCCCCCCCCGCATTGCGCGACTATCAACAGTTCTTACATGTTAACTTCTGCCCTAAACAGCTGAGTAACAGCAAGCCAATGGCCGCAGCATAGGCATCAGCAGCAGTACTACACCGTTTGAAGTCTCACGACAACCATGCAAGAACGGGTGAGCGTGTACACAGGCACAGAACCATCCCCCCCCCCCCCTCCCCCACAAACAAAACCTGCATGTCAAACAATAACAAATTTCGTGATGGACTGATGGACTGCACAGAAGTTAGCCAGCGGAGAAAGGCGAGAAATTCCCTAGCTGGAACATCATCATATCAACTCATGAGCAGGTCAAACGACTGTAAAACCAGAGCAAGAGAAAACTTGCACAGCGCAAGTGCACGCCAACAACACACTCTTGGTTTCAAACCTTGATATAGTGCCCCTCCGACAGCAATACCCGACAAGAACCGAGGGCAAGCTTTTAACCTTAATTTGGCCGTCACAAGAATTCAGCGTGTTCTTGCAGTTTTTTTCTTTTGTTTCGGCTTGTATTGGACCAATTAAGCATGTTTATAAGTTTGAACTGAATATGTCCATGCGTTATGGAAATATTTATATGTTCCCAAAAGGGAACGTTGGCCGGATCGCGTACCAAAATGACCATGGTTTTTATGAAGGGAAGATGCAATATGATATAATGGATTATGTTGTCTTCTAAGTGTTTGTGGAGCAATGCAAACATGAACAAGCAGTAATGGAGAAGAAAAAAATATGTAATAGTCGTCAAAGAGTGTCCAGCAATGTTTCTTAGTGTTTTCGGCTGCTAACGTTCGCGTCTCGTATACACCGTGGCATTCGATCCTCGATCGAAATGCAGTCGAACTCCACACTTAGAACAGTAACATATCGTGGTTTGTCTGCACCATTTACAACGACATTGTGTTGTCCACATTGTTGTTGTCAAACGCGCTTGTATTGCACATCAACAGCAAGACACTGGTGCTTCTGGGCGGGGTCGGCTATAGTAAAATAGGACGGCGATCTCGGGATGAGCCTGGATGTAGGACATTGGCTTGGGGCTCACCGCTGCTTGAAAAATTGGCACTCTCAGATCAGTTGTAAGAATGTGGAGCCAGACAAAAAGAATTACAAGGAATATCTCAAGATTGTCGGTCTCCGAGCTAATGTTGGCCTTGTCCGTATCGCGGGTATCGCGCAGTATTTACTCGTCAAATAGTGTTTAGAGATGTACAGGGTGTGTATATCTCGCGATTGGCAAGTGGGTGATGCTGTAGTGATCTCATGGTGTTCGTGAAGGGATTTGTCCAGTTCAATTTCAGGACCCCTATCGTAAACACCAGTCTATTTCACCCAACGCGTTGCTCCAGCGGGTTGGCGTTTTTTTGCGGTCGTACTCACTATCAACAGGAAAGGCACCAACATCATTATCCTCTCCATTCGTCAACTGGTAGTTGTCTAGGTCCATATCTCTTGCAAGTTCGATGAAACCCTTATCATCCGTTGAATCATCTGATTACTACTCTATTTCATCGTCCACGTTCAGATCAACGAGAAGTGGTGAGCACACATGCTCTTTCCCTGGGCACAGCAAATTCACTGCATCAGAATCACGGAATCATTAGCACCATGCAGTTGTGAATTTGCAGTGCTCAGAGAAGGAGCAAGTGTGCTCACCACTTTGTTTCGAGTTCCTGAGCTGCAGGATGCCTTACTCCTATAGCGCTTACGTTCAGATTGCCAGTAATCGGTGGCGCTAGGAATAAGTCTTGAAGTGTGTTGGAGTTCTCAACAATGTCCTTAGCTTTCATTGGAATCACTTTTGAGTCCCTTTCCAGAAAGGACTTTGCTACTGTAAACCTTTCCCTCTGTCGTACCACATTACAGCTAAAGCGATATTTTCTGACAAAAATGCAACCGCGCGGAGGAAAAGATCATCGAAAGTCCAGGAGAACGCCATAAAGCATCCATACTTTGCTGAATAGTGTTCAAGTGAATCTTGTTACACAAAAGAAAACATACTTCAGAAGTATACTCCTTTGGAGACTGTTTAGCAATCTTTACTTTGGCAAATGTCAGCCTCGCACAGCATTGCTGTATTCAGCATGCTAGTGAATCACAAATATATGACCAAATTTGGTTACCATGGAGATGGTCCAATCACCATCAAAACATCAAAAAGGCTCCATCAGTTATATATCTACATTTACGGATGTTACAAACAAGGATATGCGCTAGATATACTGGTTCCTGAAATCAGGTGAAAATGAGGTTTATCTGGGCCTCGGATCTGGCCAACGTTCCCTTTTGGGAACATCGAAGAAAGACGGCGGGGTTCTATGTGCCATGATCAAATTTCCGGTGAATCTTCAGGCCAGTTGGCTGGCCATACTAGCAGAGTACACTTCTTACGTGTGGATTACTCTGAGAAAGACTGTTTTTCACACCAGAATTCTCAATTTCTGAAGTACGGCCGAATACCGAAAATTCACGACATTTCGCGTTATATACCGATACTTGAAAAATTCAAAAGCCTGACAAATATTCCAAGATTCATGATCATCAGCCTTCTAGATATGCATATAAACAGAAAATGCGGAGGAAAAATGAATTTCCCTTGACCAAATCGCATGCGGAAAGAAATGTTCCCTTTTGGGAACATTGGCCTGATTAAGGTTAAAGAAGCACCGAACGAGTCGGCAGCAGCAGCACCACCACCAGCAGCAGCAGCAGCAGCAGCAGCAGCAGCAGCAGCAACAACAGCACTATCACCAGCACTATCACCATCAGCAGCAGCACATGCAGCAGGCTACAATGGAAGTAATCAACAGCGTTCCTGAGAGTGGTACATGTACCCGAGATGGCAAGCAACAGCAATGCTGCTCTTGTTGTTGTTGTTGTTGTTTGTTTGTTTGTTTATTTAGAGTCGAAGAACAAACAGGCAAATTTGCCTAATTACATGATATCGACTAAAGGCTTTTTAAAAGCTCTGAACTCACATTGCCCGTATACTGGCCCTCGTCCATGGCAAGGATTACTTCTGGTGCCATCCTGTAACAGAGTGGTACGCATAGTGGAGAAACAATGACACGAGTCCGCGCAGAACAAACAAGGGTAGGCGCATGTATCCAAACAAGTCCACTCAGAATGCCGCCGGTGAACCAATCATACCTACTAATACACACGCATACGTACACACGCACACGCACACAAACAGACACAAGCAAACACACATATCACACACAGACACACCAGCAGCACACACCAGCAGCAGCACCACACACACCAGCAGCACACGCATACACCAGCAGTCTCACCAGTAAGGAGTCCCCACGAAGGAATTCGCTGGCGAAACGAAGGACGCTGAGCCAAAGTCAGCTACACGCAACAGACATCAAAATACACAGGTAAGAATGCATTGCTTACACAATGTCTGAAACGATCGTAAGTTTTTCGAATACTGCTCCTGATACTCTCCTGCCTGAAGATTGATTTCCAGTAATCGATAGAACTATTAGTGAATGGCGTAAGATTAGCCCACAAAAGCTTTCCTATTTGCTCAAAGTTATCCATTCAGCATATCAAGACATCGGCGGGCGGGAGTAAACCGGATAAATAGCCACTCTGGATACAGCTGAACCCCAAAGATCCAAATACGTGTACATCGCAAAACGTGTAATAGTCGAATGTGATGGAAAATCGCAAAACAAATTTTGCACCCCAGGTTTCAGTCCTGGTGGTGCTAGTGAATTTTTCTGCCGTTCTTTTCTCTCTCTTTTCATTCCCACCAACAATTGACCATGCCGAAACTATTAGGGAATTGGTCAGAAATTAAGTGCATGAGCCTTCCGCGAAATAAATACTCCCCACGGTCCGAGGTCTGGGTGTACATACCTAACTTGACTCGGCCAGTATCGGTTAGAAGAATGTTGCCCGCTGTAGTTGACAGCAGTGCAAACAGAGGAAACACAATGATACAAGACAATAAGGAATATGCGAGGGAGAGAGAGAGAGAGAGAGAGAGAGAGAGAGAGAGAGAGAGAGAGAGAGAGAGAGAGAGAGAGAGAGAGAGAGAGAGAGAGAGAGAGAGAGAGAGAGAGAGGCAAGAGGTGAGCATGAGAAAGCAAGCTGGCAACACCTACCTTTGATATCGCGATGGATCCGGTCATGTCCGTGAAGGTAGAGAAGTCCTTGGAGCGCACCGTGGCACACGGCACTGATCTCGTCTTCCTCCAACGGTGCTTTGTGCACTGCATCGTTAGCAATTACACAACAGGACACAGAAAAAGAGGGAAAGTATGCGTCAGTAGTGTCACATCACAAGATCCCAACCACTGCAGAGACCACGCTCTCCACCACAACTCTGGCGTTTCAATACTCTTGCTATGTGCAATGACAGAAAGAGCAGAAGTCGTTCCTTGTGTGTGTGTGTGTGTGTGTGTGTGTGTGTGAGTGCGTGTGTGGTCAATTCATCAGCCTTGCAAGCTGTTGAATGGTGTAATCCCAGCACAAGTTGCTATGTCTAAGACATAGCTGTTTGCTATCATCGCTTCTGCGATGGGCAGGTCTGAGATGAGGTGAGGTGAGTGTGTGCGTACGTGTGTGTGTGCGTATGTGTGTATGCGCATTCTACATTCTATTCTCTCACCTTCGATAATGTCCGACGCTGATCCAATACAGTACTCCATGACCAGCTGCAGGAAAAAGAAGAAGACAGGATCGACAAGGCAACAACAAGACAAGCAAAACCATGAGGAGACAAGGACGAACAGCTCATAGCTGGATTGGTGGAAATCGACTAGTCACCAAACACAGTCATGCTGCTGGAGTACCTACTACAGTCGTCCCTCTCTAACCCCCACCTTTTGCAACGGAATTTTCTGCTGGATAAACAAGGGTGCTGGATTATCAAATCCTGCCCTCCAACCCGGCCCACCTGTTAACATACATGTTTGTGTCGTACGTCAAAACGCAGGGATTTTCTGTGTCAATCCAAGTACTTTGTGGAATGCATGTCTTCAACATGCACTTGGGAATATCCTATGCACTGGCATAGGATATTCCCAAGTGTATGTTACATGTGTTGCGTATGTTACAATGCTCCCTGACGGTATGCGATGTACAACTGCTGGACTAGAACATCGAATTATATACAGTTTGAGTGATTTGTCGCAGAAAATCGCTGCTGGAGGCGGAATTCAAGTGTTAAAGCGTAGAAATTATACTAAAAAAATCCGTTTTGCCAGAAAGCAGGCACGTGCACCCCCCCCAAAAAATTTTCAATCTGGGTAATTGCAATTGTAATGTATGCAAATATGCTCTAAAATTCAAGAAAGGTTGCAAACAAATTGCAGAAAATTGCCGGGGGGGGGGGGCTCCCCTCGGCTCCCGTGCACCCCCCTAGTTGGGGGGGGGGGGGGGGCGAGCACGCCCCTGGAAAGTGTGCTGGTTTGCAAGGGTGCTGGATAAACAAGTGCCGGATTAGAGAGGGACGACTGTATTAAGGGGTCGAGGGGAAAGTCTTTAGTCGTCCCTGAAACGAACATCATTCATTGGGGGGGGGGGGGGGGGAGGGGGAGCGAGCCAAAATCGCAAGTCGCCCGCCACTGTACGTACATTGTACATGCGTGTGATTTTCGTTGTCCGGCATAGCAAGCTGCGTTCGTTTCAGAGGGAGGGGAAGGGGTCCGAGTACGAAATGAACAATGTTCGTTTCAGGGATGACAAAAAAACTTTTGCGATAACCCCTGCCTACCCAGCTGTGCAAGACACATTGTGAATTTCACAAAGAGAGACCAAAGAGAAATTCTTCAGCGGCCTAAAATGGAGAGAGACACTAGTAGAAAGAAGATAACTTTCGATGTACGTTTTCTGGAAACCAGGGAGCCTTAGCGAACATGGAGACGACATTACATCATAGTAACCAAAATGATGTGTTTACAGTGGTGTCGGGTGCCAAAGAACTTGGGGGGGGGGGGGGGGGGGGGTCGGCCGCCTAGCCTACAGTCCATTCATCGGAAACTGTCCCACTGGCTTTTGAAAGTCGGATTTGGGCCGAATTGAGGATCAAAAACCCACTTTAAATCTCAAAAATCTGGGTTTGGGATCTGCTTCTCCATGCATTTTGCCATGGCCTACCTGTCCTAATTTTGTAAAACCTGGCTGAATTTCTATTTCCCTGTTCTTGGACTTTTCTGGCCTCAAATGGGGCAAGGAGTAATTGCACGGGTCACACAATGCAGGATGTACTGTTGTTTTCACGATATCTACAACTATGTGTGGGAGACACCAACAAGTTAGGGTGCCAGTTTCCAATGAATGTGAATGGACTGTAGAGCGTTCTTGTTGTATTACAGTCTATGCACAGTTGAGTCACCGTGTATACATTGGCATGCTGGGTTAAATCCTAGCCTGTTCGTTCTTCGGAGTTCTGTTCTTCGGCACAGGGCAGTACTGTAACCAAGGGTTAGACGTTCTAAGCGATCAGTTGTCTGTGCAACTGGCAACCGCGATCGCCGCATCGGCATACTGAGTGCGTTCGACTCTGCCTGCGATTCGATTTTGAATCCATTCATGAACCGCCCCTGGCTATTCTCATCACCCGATGTGAATAGGATGAATCGATTACAAACCGATTCCATTGCTTATGGCATGAAATCGAACGGCGAGATTCCTTTCATGAATCGATTCAAGGCAGTATTCGAACACATCCACCAAGCCCTAGAGCAGCCCAGACCAGACCGGAGGCGATAATCTGATGATATACCAGAAGCAATAGCAACTTGTGCTGGGATTGCACTATTCAGATTGCAAGGCTGATGAATTCACTGCCACTATCCAGCCTGGTCTACACCACATAGCTATTCGAAGTTTCCATGTGCTCACATACGGCACGTATAAATCGTCCCCGCCCCAAGGGCTATCGCAATGGGCAGGCCGAGAGCGAAACCCACATGGCTAAGCGTTACAGTCTCCCATGCCGTTACCCTGTGCCCTACTACGACTCCCTGATGAACACCGGCAGCTTACCCAGGCATGGCACTCCTTGATGAAGCAGCCCTTGTAAAGAACAATGTGATCGTGCGCACACTCGCGTAAGAACTTCACCTCCTTTACGATGTCTTGCCATTTCTGCACACACGCATGCACGCACGCGAGCAAGCACGCAGACACACACAAACATGCACATGCACATACACACACACACACACACTCACACACACACACACAAATCCAACACCAACAGCAACATTTAGTTGCTAAAGTCACTGGACACAGCAGTAGCAACAACAACAACAACAACAACAACAACAACAACAACAACAACAACAACAACAACAACAACAACAACAACAATAGCAGTAGCACCAAAAAGTGAAATGACAACCCCATCCACCTGCAGAAAGAAGTATGCCGCCACCAGCAGTACTGGTGAGATCCAAGTCATCAAAACGTGGACTCCTGTTGAGGCATGTGCATCCCACCACCCACCCAACACCCCACCCCCCTCACACACGCGTGCACACACACACGGTTGCACTTGCCGACTGCCATAAACTGGTCACACGGGTCTCCCCGGGGGAGAGGGGAGAGAGATTGAAAAGGAATCTCGGAAAGACGACTCAATTCGCTATGAACCCCACAGAGACGCGGAGTAGGTAAGACGCAGAAACGCACAACAAAAAGCAGCTGTACAACTCACCTCTTGTGCCTGCTTGCCACTGTATGCCATCTTCTTGATGGCCACCACCTCGCTGGTGACATTGTCACGCGCCTACGTGAGGACGACAGTGTGCACGGGCGACAGCATAGCCACGTGCAAACACACACACACATACACACATATGAACAAACACATGCATGAACGGGCACGCACACCCACACGAACACGACACACACAAACACACGACAAACACATGACAAACACACGACAAACACACACACACACACTTGTACTTGTACTTGTTGCTCACTGCCAAAACTGGTCACGTGGGTCTCCCCGGGAGAGGGGAGAGAGACTCAAAAGGAATCTTGGAAAGATGACTCAATTGGCAATTGAACCGCCCAACGGACGACACCCCCTGAAATCCCCAAAACTCTGGGTGGACTTGAAAATGATCCCACTTATGGGCTCACCACACCTCAGTAAGTGGGTGAGGACAAGGTGCAGAAAAAGGATTGACGGCATCAGGGTATCCGTCCTGGGATCCAACTGCATGTACCCCTGCCCCCAGTGAAGGTAATACTTGCTACTAGTGTGGGTGGCTAAATCAGAGTGGATCTGATACAAGCTTCACTAGCACCATGATTACACAAGAGTTAATCTAGCCAGAAGTAGTCCATGATTAACAGGTATGTATACTTCAAATAGAAAGTATATGAACCCTGAAACCAACAAAGGTGGTAGGTACAACATTACACCTTCAAGCAGCCGAGCCCGTTGGCAACAGACCCAACACTATCCGGCATAAGTGTACCCACCAACCGAACTAGCCGACACACACACACACACACATTAGCGCTGCAACACGTCTCCCAAGTCCCATACGCTTACACATGTGCACTGGGCGTCTTCACACCATTTCGTCTACGTTGCACCAAACATACCGAACCCGCCAGCGTGTGAACCTACTGATATGTGCTAGTCGGGACTCATTTCCACAAGCTACATCATATCTCATGATGCAACCAGTGCAGCGGATGTATCCAAGATATGAGAGGTTCATCGGGCACAATAGAGAAGTTCAGATGCACGTTATTTCCGTCGAATTTGGCGTAAACTCCAAATTTTGACGTGAGCTGCAGGTCACTCGCGTTGTTTTTCAACGCGCGAGCCGAATAACGCGAGCTGAACTTTCGCGTCGTGTCAGAAATAACGTGCATCTTAACCTCTCTAATGTCACCATGGGTAAGGCAATGTGCATTGCATTAAGAATAATGACGTGATTCTGACAAACGAGACGTGGCGGAGGTTCGACGACGGGGAGTTGAAACATGCAGGGGGGGGGGGGGGGGTGACGCACTCTCGACTGCACCCAGCGGCAGACACAGAGAGACACTGGCCGTCAGCCGGATTACGCACCCAACTCACTCACGCACAGATACTATATGCTGTATCATACGCGCGCACATACACACACACACGCACACGTGTGAGCGCGCTCGTACCGTCAACGACAAAGAGAACGACTGCGCCAATATACTAGAACTCTCCTCCGCATCAGGTCGCAAGCATACTTCTACCAAAGGTGAAACAATTTTTTTCCGACACGCACATTCAATTTCTTCTCGCATCCTACTTGATCTCATACAAGAAGTGCAAGTCGTGCATAGTGGCCACAGTCCTTATGTCTGAATGCGTGCAGTGTTCTGCGGACCCCATTCCCATTCATCACTGCCATTTCCTGCTCGCACTCGCCATGCACGCCGAAATTGTTGAGTACTGGTGCATGTGAAAAAAAACTGCATGTGGTGAGTGAAAAATCTCTCCGATTGACGTTGAACAGAGCACAGCGGTGGAATGGCGCTCCAGCCACTGACCCGGCTCAATGAGTATTCGGCGAGGCCCTCTGGCACACCGTCCACGATGCGCAGCGATCCGACATGGGCCAGGCCACCGCGCGGCATGGCACATTCGATCGGTGAGAAAAAAACTCAACAAAGAATGAACTAACTTCCTGACCAACAAATTATATTCCACATGCCATGCCGGCTCGATTCTGCAGCTTCAAAGAAGGTCAGGCAGGATCATGGTATCTCTCGGGCCCAGAACAATATCACAGTTGGTCCAAACAAAGTCAGTTTACGACACGGGATATGTTTTTATGGCATATTTCCTCTTCCACAAAACGTCCGAGCGTCAAAACAGGTCACATAAAAATAAACTGAAAATTAGACTTGGAGCACAAAAACACGCCGGTTCCATTGGCTGTCCACTGCAAAGAGGAACTTCTCATGTACACAAGAATAATGCCATGCAAGCACGGCAGGACACCAGGCAATACTCACGTAATAAACAGACCCGAAGCCGCCATGGCCAATTTCCCTGAAGTCAGCATAGACAACTTCTGGATCCTTGGGATTGAAAAAACCCCGAATGGCCGGGTCGTTGAAGGGATCGATCTTGCTTGCAGCGCCTCTCACCATGCTGCCGTGCCGACGTGAAGTCCACGCTCGACAAGATAAACCTTATGTGATCTCAATCATAAGGAACTGGCTGAGAGAATCCTCGCGACAACGACAAGGCCCAACAGGGAGGATGGTTGCACTTATGCGAAATTATTTCACTGTTCGCCAGTTGCAAGGCTTGATCTCTTGCTCTCGTCCTCACTCTGCCACAGCCCAGCATGAGCTGGGTCTTTCCACGGGGTAGCACAATACTTCAGTACCATCTAGTTTCGACTCATGGCCGTTGGAAATCAATTCGTTCGTGTCCTTGTCCTTTCCACTGACACCAGCACACAGAAACCGAAGAATCTTCAGAGCAGTTCGCCTCCAACTCTTCGACTTCAAGCTGTTGGTTGATGTGTGAAACTGCTTGTAACCCTTCAAATTTTACTAAATTATACCAAACAACCCGGTTTGTTCAGGAAATCCAAACGTACTCCATGTAACCGTCACGTGTTGTCATACAACCAGTGTGAACTGCGAAGAAGCGAATGCTTCCGAATCCAGAAAAAACGCTCCGGGTGTGTTCGTAATACGAACCAAAACGATTTTGTGCCATGTGACGCACACAGTCTCCTGGTCACTGCTCGCTCTGCTCGTACGTTGATCGTACTTGCCGATCGAATTCGCGAACTGAGCTGAGTCACTCCGTCTTATCTGTGTCTTTCGTTCAATCATGGCAACTTCGAAGCGTTTTATACCTGCGAAGCTGGGTTTGCGCCAGCCTGAAGGCTCGGCTTGCTGCTGAAACCTCACGCTTTTCTGACGCCAACATTCTTCTCAAATCGCTCAGTCCTCAGCATGCAGCACGAACACTCGACTCGAGTAGATCTGCTCGTCTACAATGTAGTCTGTCGATAGCTGCTGCTGTAGCTTGCTTGGCTGTCAATGATCGAGCAACGAGTCGACCAAGTCGACACGATTGCTATTTTTAGAAAGACTCTCTGGCTTGACTGCTGCAGCCAGGAACTGCACAGATCTGCACTGCATGCAGAGCTTAGTAGAGGTAACTGTTACACTCACCAAGTAGTATTGTAGTGTTGATTGTACATGTAATAACATCAGTCATTACCGGTATGTGCGTACGCGCGTGTGTGTGTGTGTGCGCGTGTGCGTGTTTGTGTGTGTGCATGTGTGTGTTTGTGTGTGTCTGCATGTGTGCGTGTGTGTGCCCGCGCGCGCGCGCGTGTGTGTGTATGCCAGCAGTACAGTGTATTACAAGTGTGTGTCCCATAATTATGGTGAAGTGGTATGTGCAGAGACTTCCAATCGAGAGGTTGCGGCTTCGAGTCCCGACGATTATGGTCACACACGTCTTTCTTCTCTTTCTCAGACTCCTCCCAGCTTTTCTTTCATTCTCCTGGGTGGTTACCAACAGCCAGTGCAGTGCATGCCGGAGTATGTGGTGTGATGTGTTTGCGGGAAAAAAAGAAAAAAAAGACCAAAAAGTAGGGATTCACTGGCCAGAAAAGCCACTTCATAGCTGTGTGGTGTAGACCAGGCTGAATAGCGGTGTGAAACGCAGCGTTACAACAATGACCTACCCCGTTGTCTCTGTTCTCGCTCCGCCTTTGAGGTATTGCTCCATCCTTGTGCACATGTGGTGTTGAACACTCTACAAGTGTAGGCAATCTGGGGATTCTAGGTATTGTAGTTGATAGTCTATGCACATGTAGTTGCAAAAGTCCGCTTATGCTCTTCACTGCACCTATTCCGTAATTCAGTACTTTCATTTCTAGGGTACCCTGTAAGAAGGCCTTAGGCCTGTGGGGATTGCCCTATCCAAAATTTGATAATAAGATGGTGCCCGCTGCCGCAAGAGCAGAGCCAAAACGACGTACTGAGTTTAGAACGGAACATGGCTGCATGTAGTGTACATGGCTACATGACAGTTGTCCTTCTTTATATCACATGTAATCCAGCACTTAGTCTTTATAAACCAAGAGAATTGTGTGTTGCTCCCTACGTGGGAGCTGGCGCTATTCCTGCCGACTTGAACTCCCACTTGAGTGACTCACGACTGCCATCCGGAGCACACGAGAAGTCGATCGAACCGGCAAACCTGCAAGAAAGCACCACTCCCTGCTCAATACACAGTGTTTCCGGGAATTCACCCCTCATCAGTTGAGCTTGAGTAGGCTGAGGAAGATTGTGCCTGAAGAGCACCGCTTATAATTATAGTGCTCTCCAGGCACAAACATCACCAGGGATACAACCATACAGAGACGCACCGTTTCCAGCGCGACAAACACCTCGTGAACACCAGATAGCAGCGTGAGTCAGTGTCGCTTATGGAAGTGCTGAACCAACGCTGAGGACCGTTGGCCATTCACAACATTGTGCCTCCAAACCATCTAATTCGCAAGTCCGCGCCGCGTACTGCCATCCAGAGCACACGAGAAGTCCATCGAACCTTCCACTCGGCAAACCTGCAAGAAAGCACCACTTCCTGCTCAATACACAGTGTTTCGGGGAATTCAGCGTCTCTGTAAGTTTGTATCCCTGGTGATGTTTGTGCCGCCTGGAGAGCACTTTATAAGTGGTGCTCTTCAGGCACAATCTTCCTCAGCCTACTCAAGCTCGACTGATGAGGGGTGAATTCCCCGAAACTCTGTGTATTGAGCAGGGAGTGGTGCTTTCTTGCAGGTTTGCCGAGGGGAAGGTTCGATGGACTTCTCGCAGCTCTGGATGGCAGTCATGAGTCAGCCGGTCAAGTGAGAATTCAAGAATTCAAGTCGGCAGGAATAGTGCAAGCTCCCATGTAGGGAGCAGCGTATAATTCCCAAAGTATCGCCGAAGTCGCACCAACCAGTCTTCACATTATATACCAGCATTTTATAAATCAGCACTCTCTACAATCCAGTATAATTTTCATTTTCCAGCAACCAAAATGTCCTCTTCATGCACACTGCAGCAGTAAATCAGATTTTTTAATCCAGCACCCTCCCTAGTCCAGAAGAATTTCTTTAGCACAAAAATTATTGGTGCCGGATTATATAGGGACCACCACTCTACATGTACATGTATGTTCTTGTTGTCACTCCGAGCTCAATCTAAGCTGCTCATCCTTGTGCAAATGCACACTGATGGTGTACCCCTATACATGTACGTACATATCATATATGTACAATCAAGAGTATGTATCCCACCCCCCCCCCCACCCCCCCCCCCCCACTAAGCACTCTTGGGGATTATACTCTTGGTACAATCAAGTATTTATTAGTTGGCACAATCAAGAGTACATGAACCGTTTATGTACTCTTGATACAATGTACACTTCATTCTTTTCAGCTGTTATACTTTGATTTTTTTTTACAAAAAAGGTTCCAAGCTGTCCAGTGGAATGCGAGAAAAAGTACTACCTTCGGAATTTCGAGTTATCCACAGGCATCACCCTAATCAAGTGGCAGACAACCAGATCCAATGTTTATCACTTGAAACGGTATTCACGCAATGAAGCAATCGTTCACCACTGCTGTGATTCACACCGGCTTTACTTGGTGGGCATACATATATAAGCCAGCATCCAGATTTGTCTTATTACGTCTGATGATCGCCTCGATAAAGGGGTACGGCAGAAGCATTGGATTGGATTGGATTGGATTGGATTTTTATTTATAGTGGTGACTATAACAGACAATTGCCTAATAACAATAGACCCACTCGAGGGAAAGATGCAAAAAGATATGAATAATTAACATAGTAGTAGGCCTTGACGGATTATGCTAATATTTTCGTTAAATTATGCTTTTCGCATTGCTGAAAAAATTGCAAAATTATGCTATTTTTATGCTAAAAGTTATCATATTATGCCGCATTATGCTCACATATGCTGCTAATGTACATGTTTGATGGTTCAGTGCAAAATAACAGGGGATTTTTTGTAGAGGGCGCTGTACTGTAGTAGCAAAAGTTCAACGGGGTCAACGCACCGTGTGACCTACATGTAGCTACGACCGTCACTGATTGTAGTGGACTCGACTGGACATGTTATCAAGGGAGTCGAAAACCTACGACTTCTTGGTGCATTTACTTGTACTTGTACTTGTAGAACATGTACAGCTGTATGGAATTTGATGCGAACAGGCGGATTATTCCAATTTATGCGATTCGTATGCAATTTGCCTCGAATTATGCGATTATTCGATTTTGGTAGGAATTATGCGAAAAATAATGCTAGCATAATCCGTCAAGGCCTAGACTACCGGTATTGGATAGGTGATCATGTTCGCATTTTGCATAGCTGAAAGTCATAATTACTAGCGTGAAAAAGCAAGGCATTGGGGTAACAGTTTCTTAAAACGGGCGGAGTTATTCACACAGCGAGCTAGAGGGTGCAAATCATTCCACAGCTTAGCACATTGGAAGGAAGCGCCATGACGGGCAAAGGCAGTTCTGAGCATGGGCAACTTAAGAGTGCGTGATACAAGGCTGCGCGTTGCAAGACCATTATTTAAACGCTCGAACATTTGACTTAATGTGACACTACAGCGGCCTTCCAAACAGCGCCACGTCAGATACAGTAATTTCTTGCAATACATGGTTGCCAAACGATCTAGACCAAGTCTCGCAAATAAAGGGCTTGATGGGCTACAAAAACCAGTATCATACACTGAACGCAAAGCTCGCTTTAGCATTCGTTCAAGCCTACCTAACTGGGTTAAGGAAAGGCCAGCAGAAAAACAATTTGATGCATATAGAAAATCTGGCAACACTAGGCACTTTACGAAGGTTTCTCGGCAAGTCAGCGGAATATTGTGTCGATTTCGGAACAGAATACCAATTTTACTGGCTAGTTTGGAGACCATAGAATCAACTTGAGTGCTCCAAGAAAGATCCTGGTCCAAATGTATTTCAAGGTACTTTGCACATGTCACTTGCTTGAGCTGCACTCCATGGCAGTAGACTGCAAATTGGTGGTCAGTAATATGTGGCGTAGACAGGAAGAGCACTTGTGTCTTCCGAGCATTTAGAATTAAATTGCGGTTTGACAGCCAGGTACTAATGGCTGAGACAGCTGCAGACAGGGAGTTGCTAAGCGCATTCTTCTGCTTACCGCAAACATACAATAGAATATCGTCAGCAAATTGAATAACTTTCACACAAAACTCGGAGACAATGGACTGGATCGAACGAACATAGAGTACAAAAAGCAGCGGACCAAGAACAGAGCCCTGGGGAACGCCACACATGCAGGGGAAAGGAGGGCTATAGTTCTCAGCAATGTGCACTATTTGGCGACGATTGGACAAATAGTCGGCAAACCAGACTAATGCTGAACCAGATATGCCAAGCTCAAACAAATCATTAATGAGCACTTGG